CCCCTGTCCTTCAGCCAGTCCGTGGCACCTTCTATGCAGAGTCTTCATTCTCTCTCTTGTGCCACCAGGCCTTTGCCATGGAGGTCCTCCTGCTCAGAGAACTGGTCCCGACTGCTCCACCGGTGATTCACGCAGGCCTCCTGTCCCTCTGGATGTTGTCCCTGAAGCCTCGCTCTAGGTTCCTTGACCCCATGAGTTCCCTGAGCACCCTGTGCCTGCCTCCCGCGGTGCCACTGGCAACTGTGTCTTCTTGTTTGAATCCACAAGCTCTTTATGGCCTGGAAGTGACCCCTACTCCCTTTTGAACGCTCATCACCTATGAGTGTCTGGTCTGTAGGAAGGGCTCAGTGCTGAGTTAACGCTGCTGAATGAAGAGGTAAGTGGAGAAGAAGTAGGGCTCAGCTTACCTCCCATTCCACCTCCTGGATAAAATAAGTTCTGTGCTCTCACACTTGACAGCCCTTGAAGTATCTGATGGTGGTCATCAAGTTCTGCCCCCCAAGAACATTCCAGATGAAGGCAAACATTCAGTTCCTTTCACACCTCCTCAAACGTTCTGGCTTCTCATCCTGTCTCCACTGGGCTCCCTCCTCTGATGGCTCTCGTATTTGTCAGGATCCCTCCATAAAGAAGGCAGTCGGAACGGGACAGGTCTCCCCTCACATTCCTACCCGAGTTTAGAAAACTGGGCAATGGCTAACATTGCAACAGAAATCAGTAGCGGAGCCAGAAAAGGGATCCAGATGTTCAGGTCCCTCAATCAATCACACAGTCCCTTACTAACATTAGCTGGTCATGGATTAGGAACCCAAACCCAGTGAATTTCCCACCTGTACACTCAGCCCCGTGTGCAGACTCCTCACCGCAGTGTGAGCGCGGGCGGAGCTAGACGCACGGCCAGCAGCGGGTCCTGCCGCTGGTTAGGGCAGTGCTAGATTAGTGCCACACTGCCACAGATTAGGAAGTGCCCCCTCAGGCCACAGCAATTCACTTAACCACACATTATATTGAGAACCTAGCTTCCCGGAGCTTATGTTTTAGTAGAGAAGGACAAAGTAAGGATATATATATTATAAAGCAGATTAAAAGGTGACCAGTGCTACAGAAAAAGAAATAAGAGAACAAGGTAAGGAGCACTGGGGCAAGGTGGGGCAGATTAGTTTTAAATAGGGTGGTCACAGGAGGCCTAACTGAAGGAGACTTTAGATCAAGGCTGGAAGGAGGCAAGGGAGCTGCGGAAGGGGGTTTTAGACAGCAATGGGACACAAGGTCGCTTATTTCTGACATTGTAAAACTACACTGTAGGATGCTGCCCTAACTTACAGGAGTTAGAAACAAATTTACAAACTGCACTTCTATTAAAATCTCTATTTCTAGGGTCAGGTGTTCACAGCCTCTATATACTCCTAGAGCAACTCTGCCCTTTGACTGAACCCACTGTGATCGGGGTCTATTGCCTGCTTCTCTTTTCTGGGAGTACACTACCTTCATAAGTATTAACACCGATGGCAAAGCAAAATAAAAGTCAACGAATTAATATCTTTTGGGACACGTGGTGTATTGTGTCCTTCATCTCCCTTTCTCCTTTGCTTCCTTCCTTCCCTAAAGGATCTGCATATAGTGAGCACATCTTTCCCCTGCCCTTGAAAGCTTTTCATTACCTTTGTTGATGTTCAAATGTGGGTCAAGTCTAGTCGTCAAACAGAAAAGCAAACTGCCAAGAGATTAAGTAATGAACCATTCACATAAGGTATCCGCTAATAAAAATTTAATATCATAAAACAAATCAGAAAACAGCAAAAAAAATTGTTTAACCATTCACAATTAACACGGAGACAAAATTATAAGGCAGCCATCCATGGAATGATTTCATGTTTACAAAGGATCCAGGAAAGGGGACATTTAAAATCACTGTTCGGGCTACTGAACCAGGGGAACTGCCGTTTTATCCCATGAGACTTCCAACTTGCCAGAAGATGCTATCAGAAAAAAGATCAAAGCCAATTTCCTTGCGTTCGGCTGAGCATATCTAGAGAATTCCCAGTGGTGGTCTAGTCTTTTCCTACAAGTCCCAAATTCCCCTCAAGTCTCCTGGGGTTTATCTAGATGTCTCAGGTACAAAGTGGGGGGGGCCTCCATCATTGGTTTTATTTTCATAGCATCCCCAACAGTGCTCTTGGGATTATTCTGTTTTGAGTAGAAATTTTCTAATGGAAGGATGGTTCTCCTGTAGATCACCTTCCACTGCAGCAGTTTGGGAAGAATCTGGTCAATATTCTCAGTCTCTCAAGGGGCCCAGAGGCCCTGTAGGCAAGAAATTTTCTGGAGGTCTGGGCTGTTGGTAGACAGCTCCTCTGTTTAGTACCTAGTTACCATGGGTCTGAGGGGCATAATACTCCAATGCTGGTGTGTCCTCCTAGTTCTAATCCTTGAAAAGGAGAAAAACCAGGCAGTGACACTTAGAAGTAGGCTGGTAAGAAACACAATTTCATCGTCTCCTCTCTGCAAAGAATTGACCCCTCAAAACGACCACCTCTGTCCTTTCTCTAATGATTCAAAATACAAGAACAGGGTTGACTCAACTGTTTTGAATAGGGTGATAGAAAGGTGACAGGGGGAAGAGAGAACACGTAGCCTCTGTTGATGGAACTGTTTCCAACTCTCTACACTCCAGTGCAGAGCCTCTGCCTAAAAAAATCTGGCAACGGCGTGCACAGGAAAGCAGCCAGCCCTAGAACAGCGCTGCTTTGGGGAAATGGGGACTGATACGCAACTCGCTGGAAAACAAGGGAGGGGAATGGACCATTAGCGTTTTCCACCTTCATTTGCCATTTAAGAGTGCATTCGGAATCTGAAGAAATCTGTCCCTACCAAGGAAAACGGAGTCAAATTGCAATGAAGACTAACTTTGGTTATGAGGAAGGAAGGGCCGTACTCTTCATCATCAGGTGCATCTCTTTGGTAGCCAATGATTCCATCTGTGATCATGGCAGCAACTTAAGTATTGCCAATGTCGCCAAATGCATGAGAGCATTAAGGCATCTACATCTAAGGAGGCAGTGAACACAAGAGGAAAACAGAACTGAAATGTGCCAGTAAGTGACCACTGCTGTGGCCCCTTCTGGGACACTGCCCAGCACGAGCAAGTTCCTCCCCCAGTGAAGAAGGCCTCTGCCATGCTGCTCGGTCCCCTGCTGCCTAGAGGTGCGTTTGAGCCCTCTAAGGTTAGTATGGCTATTTCTGCCTGCTGACCAGGAGAGAAATGAGTAGCTCCTGAGGCAGCAGCTTTAAAATCTGGGAAAGGCCGCAGCTCCCAAGAGCTGGTAGGCCTTGCAAGGTCTGCTTGTTAACGCGAGGTCCAGAGGGGAATGCAAATTTGGAAGTTTGATGGTTCAATCCTTGCCAGAGTTCAAGGCCCCCCCACCAAGCAAGATATTCTAGCCAAACTTTTAATGATGGCAAGGCACTGCTGAAAGAGGCTTTGGCCAGCAGAACGAAATTCTCATCATTGCACGCAACAGTATGATAGAAAGTGCTGCTACCCAAACCAAACCAGACACTAAGATGTACTATTTATTAACAAAGTAAATTTCCAGGGAGAATCAAGGCAACCATGACATCTCGAAGGGCCAGACGAAGCCCCATGACTCCCATAAGTCAGAGCTGTTATCAGGAAAGTCACTCAGACTTTCCAGACTGTGCCTTCTGTTGGTTTTAACATCGTATGCAATGGTTGCCAGCCACTATACAAAACCCTATCCTATTTGTGCTACTTTGGTCTATGGCCGGCAGAGGGCTCACAAGTTCCATAGCTGCTGACCCAGTGACACGTCCAGGAAGGAAATAAAGAAATTATAGGCATGCTGGCATATATGTCATATAAGACATTTTACGAACTCCTAAACCCACTGCCCTGAAGAACACAGTCTTGGTTCCCTCTTTATATAATGTGTTTTGAAATGGTACAGAAAATCAAAATAAATTAATAACACAGTATACACTTAGTTGATAACACAAAGTTTACAGGGATTGGCAAATATGGAAAAATCATCCCAGTTTGTTAAACACTTTTACTATCACAACTGTTTAAATGACCAGAATATTAGTGATTGTGTCATCTCACACATGAGGAAATGATATCTTAAGGGATTAACAAAATTGCATTTGACACAAAGGTAACTTCATTGAAGGGAATAAAAAACAGAGACATTGTTATCTTCATCATCACAGTTCGAGAAGTGGTTGTCTTGATGAGAATTCAATTCACACAGATACCAACATTGCCACCCGCAGTAAGCAGCAAATTATAGATGGGGGGCGGGGGGGCGGGGGGAGTCAGGAAGAAAGCATGGAAAAGATGAAGAGACAAGAGACATGATTTCAATAAGCTTTAAATCAAGAGGCAAACACTTCCCACTTGTCATACATCTTGCCTCTCTTCACTGCTACAGGTGCTTCTGTGACGCTGACCTAGCACTCTCCAAAGGACACCAAGTATTTTGCCAGAGGGACTGCTAGTCTGCTAAGATAAATATGTAAAAAGAAAAAAAGGGACAACACAGGGTTTTGGTTATCTTACTTTTAAAAAGATTATGACAAAAATGTCAGTTATTATCCAAATTTACTTGAAATTAACATCCCTTCATTTCAAAAGACACTTTGGGATCTGTTTTTGAAGGAAAGCCTGAGTGGGCCTGAACCTACCAGAACTTGGCTCCTTTGCACTGGAGGCAGGTATTCTGCAAAGGAGAACTTGAGAAGAAATACCAGTGGCCTCCTTCGATGCTAGTCCATCTCTGTTGCTCCACTGATGGAATGACAGGCTCTCTTTAAGGAGGCAGACACGAAAGGAGGTGTTAAGTCTCTCCAGACATCCTCTTTTCAATGGACAGCTCTCGAGTAAAAAGTCAGCTTTTCATGTGCCTTGCTGTCATTTTCCTCTTACCCCAAATAAACTACAATCCTCTTTAGCATCTAAGACAGTGGGGATTGTGACCTTTATCAAGGCGTGTGGCACAGATGCTAAAGCACCAGTCTTACACGGTGAGAACCATGTTAAAAATCAATGGATAAAGTAAGTGGCAGAGCCTCTAAACTAAGACAGAGATCTAGCTTAATTACAGAACACTGTACTTTCATAATTACTATTTCATTGTGAGTATGAAGTTCTCCACTTTTCCTTAAAATGAAATTCCATCTTCCCTGAGCATAGGGTTAAGAGAAACATCAAAACTCAAAATGCCAAGGGCCCTTTAAAAAAAACAACACAACGGAATGTCTCTATCCAGTCGCAGTGTGTTGTTTCTACTCTAAAAGCTTTCCATTACTCCAGGTTTTAATCTCACCTCCCTCCGGACTCTAAGAACACAGGTGGAGATGGGGCAAGGTGAGACAAGAGACTGAGGGGGTGAGCAGCTGTCACGTGCTGGCTGTTCTCACGGGATGGCGAACAGCTGTGGCCTGAGGCCCGAATCCGACCTTTAATGCTGGTGTCCTACTGACAGGATGAGCGGGATGAGGCAACCCAGAACCAGGGCGGCCACCTCCAGGCGGCTGAGGCCCCTCCCGCCAGTGGGGTCAGATCTGTGGCTGTGCCCCATTCCGCCCACCTCAGGGAGGACATGTACTGTGGCAACATAAAGAAATGTCCCGGCAGAGAAAAGCATGGCCACTCCAGTGGCATTGACCTCTGAAAGGGCTTCTTTACTGCTCTGTGAATTAAGAGAGGAAGAGAGAGAAAGAAGAAAAATTAAGTAAAATTCAGGGTCAGGAAGAAATCCTGATTAAAAAAAAAACAACACTCAGTGTTCACGACTGGTCCGATATGGGACACTGGGGACATCTTGAGATCAGAGCAATTTTGTTATTGATGAGAAGCTTCCAAATTTAAGACTATTGATGACGTACACAATTGCTTTTTCAAACAAACTTCAAGTCTGGTTGAACAGGTCTGGCATGTATTATTCTTACAATGGAATCAACAGCATTATTAATGCAAGTATTAAATTTCATACATTCATTTATTCTACTAACATTTAACAAACATCCCTATACACCAGGCTCTAGGCTGGTGCTTGAGATACAGTGGGAATCGAGATGCAGTACCTGCCCTCACAGAGGCAGAAACATCTTATAAGCTAATCTTGACACAATTAATTTCAACTTTTTCTATTCAAAAAGTGGACCTATGGACTATGACAATTAATTAAATTTTTAAGAAGAGAACACGCCATAATGCAACATGTAACCCCATGCCTCCAGAATTATACCTTCCTGTGAGAAGTTCTAAAGACTTGCACTGATCAATGAAGTGATAGAGTAATACTTAAAAAGGAACTATATACTGCTTGTTGACTGAAAGAAGAAAAGAGTCTTCGAATGATCAAAGAGGGTTTTTATAACACCTCATTTGTTAGCAATCCGGATCAACAAACATGATTAACAGGAACTTAATCGTGTTTTAACCACCTCATTTCTCATATGTTCCTTTTAATACAAGTTTTACTGTATCAACTATGAATGGAATGACCCTCAGAGAGAGTATGGGGGAAAGCAGTTCCCACGAACTAGCCCTGAGGCAGTTTGGTTCTAAGATTTTTCTCCGGTGGCCAGTCAGTTGACACTGAAGTACCAGAGGGAGGGCTGTTAAGACCTACAGCCCCAGGGGACAGAACTAGAAGGCAGGGAAAGGTCCACCTTGAACAACAGGGAAGAATGCCCAGGCTCGGAACTGACAAGGGACACATGTTACTTCAGGTCTGACGTTATGTTCAGTACAATGATAAAGAACTGGATATTTAGTATTTGGTGATATGAGAATACAGACATCTCTGCTCATCCCCTATTCTCCTCAAAACTGCTATTTGTCCCTCACTCTTCATGCGCCTGCTTAAACATTAAATATGTACTGTTGTGACTTATTATATATCTGTCAAACAAAATTAGTGTGTTTGGTTAGGCCTGAGTTATGCTATTTTAAAGATCATATATCTGTGCAAATGTTTTCAGAACTGATAGGGAAGAAATTTTGAAACTGAATGAATAGGAAAATGCTCTAAATTTACGAAGAGAATGCCTTGGAATGAAGATGTTTACCCTGTACTGGCTTTTACTCGTAATTTCATCTTTCGTTTGAGGGGGTAACTTAATTGCAAAAATCAACATAAAAGACCATAGGTTCCGGTAAATCACAAAAGAATTAGATACTTGTCTAGATAAGCTAGGAATGATCAGACTTACCTTACTTAGTCCTAAGTATGTCACCATGGACATGACTGGGGCTGCCAGTGCAAAGACCAGTAAGTGTTTTCTGATTCGATTCCGTTCTAGGCCAGCATGCATTAGGAAAGAAACCAGCCCAAAAGCAGCTGGTGCCTGGAAAAGAAAAAGTATTCCTAATTAAAGTATGGAACGCTTCTATATTATGAAGCACATGTCATTTGACTGAATTCTCACAAAAAAAAAAAAAACAAAAACAGGCATGGTACCAAGACTGAGTTCTGCCTTTCAGGAATTAATGTTCTAAGCTAAGAAAATATCCTACTTGTGTGTGTGTGTGTGTGTGTGTGTGTTTCTCAGATAGTGGGAAAAGACAAACAATCAAGAAAAGAGTATAAGAAAAACAAAAACATTTATGAACAAAAATTACTTAAAAATATAGAAATCTGTAGAGAATTTAAGAGTTGGTGTGTATGACCATTAAAAAAGTCCCTTCACGTGCAAGTTTAAAAAAATAGTAGCAAAAAATCCTACTGGTCAACTATCTCAAATGAATGGCAACTATAAAAACTAAAAAAATCTTCCCATTCCAAAAAAATACCGATGACCAAAGAGAAATTTTCATTATGAACATATTCAATATCAAATCTTCCACTAATATTCTGCTTACCTTATGTAGCATTATTGCCACAAACACAATTAACTGGACGCTAGTCTGTGAAGTAGAGGCTGCTGCTCCTAAGGCCACACCATCCGCTAAATTTGGAAAAAATAAAACATAAAATACTATAAAAACAACAACAACAGTGTAGTAGTTTCGTGTGTGGGCCTTAGAGGCAGGGAGAGCTGCATCTGACTCTGGGAAGGTTCCTTAACTTTTCTGAACCTTAGCCTTCTCATCTCTAAAACGGGCTCAAGGAAGTATGTATTCTTAGGATTTTCATGAGGGTTAAATGAGAAAACATATGTAAACAGCTTAGCACCTGGCCCCAAATATTCAATATGTCAGCTGTTATAACAGAAATCGCAAAGACTGCAAAGTAAGCATCTCTGTCTTGCAGATGAAAAAACACAAAGACACTCCAACTCTACATAGATGACTTATACACAAGAAGTAAATATTGGCTGAATGAACTTTTGTCAGATGAACATGTTCTATCGAAAGGTCCAGGCGACAGTGTGCCATCTCCCACATGCCTTTGTCAGTCACAGACTCGTACTGCTGGGACTGGTCTTCGGTTAGGACTCTAAGGCATGCCCAGTCAGCGATGCCGTGCCTTCGGCATTCTACAGCCCACCTCTGCCTCAATGGGCACTTCCGGTTTATACTGAGCAACAGGGCTCTTCAGGACAATGTCAAGGCTCTTTTCCAGATGAGGCTCTAGGGCAGAGGTCAGCACATTTTTTCTTAAAGGGCCAGACATGGAATATTTCAGGCTTTGCAAAGGCAGCCACAGATAATATGTAAACAAGTAGGCATGGCTGTGTTCCAAAAACCTTTATTTATAGGCGCTGGAATTTGAATTGCATGTAACTTTCATGTGCCACAAAATATTTTCCTCCATTAAAAAAATAAAAAACTGTTCTTAGCTTGCAAATCCCTGACACTTGGGCACGCCCGGGCTTATGCTTGTGTTGGAGGACTTCACGAAGCAACCCTCTCCGCAGTTCATGGGGACAGTCCCTGGGATGTACACACTAAGCCTCCCACGCTGGGACAGAAGAGAAAGGGGTCTCACTGCCACCCAACCCTACCTGCAGCATGGACGACCAGACCCAGTGTGGTGGTGATTTTGGAATTGCTGGGCCTTGCTGTTTCTGGATCTGAAGTAAAAATAAGCAAGTCAGCCACGAAGCAATGTGAAACAGAAACTGCTAGAACACTGACCTGGAGGTGGAAGAATTCTTTAAAAGCTCTTAAAGTAGATTATATTTTCCCCATGACTGTCTTTTCTCTTTGGCTTTAAACACTTAGAAGTTTCCCCTGTCCTGAAAGAGGGGGCAGGAAGGAACTCTTCACTTGCTCCAGCCTTCCCTGAAAAGACAATATGTAACCCCTAACTGCTTCAACTGCCTCACACCTCTTAACCCTGCAGCTCTCACTGAAAAGTGCTCTGTGGCCTCAGCACTTCTCTGCAGACCAATCTTGTCATCACTACCTACCTGCCCCTCCTCCCCAGCCTCCTGCAACTTTATCCTTATTTGAGCACCAAAATGTCTGTCATGTTTGCCCTTCTCTATTTTACTGCCACCATCCTAACCTAAATTTGCATCCACCTGAACCTGAATGAGCAATAGGCTCTCAGCTGGTTTCCCCCTGCTCTCATTTCTCCCTAATCTAACTCATCTTACACATCCTTGTCGGATTCATCTCTGAATCACCCCACTCTTCCGAAATGCCAGGTATCTGCTGCTCTTCAGATTCAGTCCAAACTGCTCTATTAAGTAGGTTCTTAAGCTCTTTATCAATTTATCAATCTTAAGCTCTTTATCATCTTATCTCTCATTATTCAATCCAGTTAAACCAGTTTCTTTAACATCTTCTAACAAAACCTTCTCATTGTCCTTTCCCCAAATCTCTCATCCTTAATTCTTGGCATGAACTTTAACTTCTTAGCTCATCAATCTGAAACCTAGCCACTGTTCAAAGTCTAATTCTAGGACCACTTCCCTCAAGAAAGAATCAAAGATTAATTCCAGCTCAAAAGGTTCCCCTTGCCTAGAAACCAAGAGCTCTATGTGCACAGACTCTACATGCTACTTCAAAGCTTTTCCTAGATCACACCTGAGATATATACAACTGTTTTCACTCAAATAGGTCTTATATCCCCAGACTGACTGTAAACTACACAAAAGTGAATTTTCCACTTCTTTCCATTTCTTTTTCACATCTTACAGAATGTAACACAGCACTAGAAACCCAATAGCTGTTTAAACAATCCTTATTGGAGAGGGGAAAAAATAACTTCTCTGTATTACATGAATGTTTCTGCTATAATAGAAAATATACAAGCAAGTAAATAATGTCCAAACAACATAAAATTAAAAGATAGGGACATCAAAATGCCAGATGAAATGACAGATGGACATTAGCCAAATAGATTCGAAGGGATTTAATCTTCTGGGGGAAACCAGTGCAAAGAAGGAATGATTTATAGTGGAAAAAACATATACAAGTAAAGTAACATGTTATCTTTTTAGTAAAAATAAATAAAATTATCTTCTAATTAAAACACTGCAAGGAAGGCAAGCTAAAGTCCCTAACTGGTCAGAGACAACAAATATTGATCAATGTCGCCCCCAACTGTGAAGAATATCATATTATACTGTGTGACAACCTTGTTTTTCCTTTATACAGTCTTATGGTCTAGTTATAAATAGCATCTTAAATAAAAATTAGAGGCTTTAAAATTAAAACACAGTTTTTATAAAACTATAGGAAAAGACTGTACTTTAGTATAAATTTAATAAATCAATTTTTACTGATATTTAATAATATATAAAACCCTGTAGATAATAGGTAAAGCCAGATTAAAAGTGAGCAAAAACAATGACTTCAGAGATGAAACAGGAGGAAGAATAAAGGAACACATGCTATTTTTAATTCTTTGTATAGGATTATAGGGCACTTATGGGCCTTTAAATGCATTTAAAATTGAAACTGATAAGAATCACAAAAATGTCATAAAGGCCACTGTGAGCAACTATGTAATGCAGTTGGAATCAGACACCATCCCACCAGAAGGTGCTTCTCATTTGCTATTTGGTGAAAGCACACAAATAAAACCCTTTACTCCTAAATCAATTTCCCAATACATGTAAGACCATTAAAAAAGAAAAAGTGTATGGAAAAATACTGAAAAGAAATAGTATATGCAAGGAGATTAACAAAGCAAAAAGTATCCTTAGACTAAAAAGGCTAATGAAGTTCAATGAATTTTGAAAAAAAACCCTTTTATTTGGAAATAATTTCAAATCTTTCAAATAATCTTTGAAATAATTTGAAATAATCTTTCAAATCTTCAGAAAAGTTTTAAGAATGTTCAAAAAACACTCACTACTCATTTCTCAGAATGACCTACTGTCTAACATTTTGCCCCATTTGCTTCATTATTTGTGCTCATGTTCTTTCTGTATCCACACCACACACACACACACACACACACACGTATTTTTTTCCTGTACCATTTCAAAGTAAGTTGCATACATCATAACTCTTTTTCCCCAGATATTTCAAGCGTATTTCCTAAGAGAAAGGATATTTTCTTACACAATCACAGTACAATGATCAACTTCAGTAAATTTAATATTGATAATTTTTTTTCTAATTTCTCTTGCATGTTCTAATTTTGTTAACTGCCCAGGAAAGTCTTTCAGAGCATTTTTCCCTCCCAGGAAGGATCCAGCCTGGGATCAAATATGCACTTAGTTGTATCTCTTTAGTCTCTTTTAATCTGGAGTATTTTCTCTGCCTTTGACTTTTGCGACACTGATTATCTTTGAAGAATACATGTCCCTTCCTGAGCCTTTGTTTTTTAATAGAACGATCCCTTCCGGTGCGCCTGGGTGGCTCAGGTCATGATCCCAGGGTCCTGGGATGGAGTCCCACGTCGGGCTCCCTGCTCAGTGAGGAGCCTGCTTCTCCCTCTCCTGCTCCCCCTGCTTGTGCTGTCAAATAAATAAAATCTTAAAAAAAAAAAAAAAGAATGATCCCTTCCCTTTGGGTTTGTCTCATGTGGCCTTAGGTTATGCATCCTCAAATGGAATACTACACAGGTGCTGCTTCTCAGGATTTCATGTCTAGAGGCACAGAATGTATGTCTATCTGCTGCTTGCTATTAGAGTGAATTGTGAATGTTATCTTGTGGATACTCTGGATTCTATTACATGCCTCCAAAGAGTGTCCATTTTGTGTTTTGCCTGAAGTCACTTGGTTTGGCTTAAGCTGCCAAGTCTCTTTTTTGGGCAGCTGCTCAAATCCCAGTTCAGTTCTTTCATCTTTAGCTGAGTCTGCCCGCAAAGAATGGTTCAGGGCTCAGCCACACTTGGGTCGAGTTTATACATAAAATCTGGGGCTGTGTTTCTCTGTCTCTCTCTTTTCTAAGACTCTCCCCTCACTTTCCAGTGTCTGTAGTTACCCTGACCTCTAGTTCCTTAGGCCAGACAGACCATGTTTTCTAACAGTTTTACCTACCCCAACTGGGCACTGACTGCTTTTTAAAAGCAGTAAACACAGAAACTTACCCTATTCCTCCAGAATTTTCCTGCTTTAAGTCCATTTCTTGTGTCTTTAGGTAGTGGTTTTTAAAAATTTGCCCAGAGTTCATAGTTATCTGTAAGGAGGCTGGTCTGATAGGCACTTATTTGCCCACACTGAAAACAGACGCTGATGACACTAAGCTTGATCATCTGGTCAAAGTACTATGGATTTCTTCGTTTCATTACTCTTTTTTCCTTGCAACTAATAAACAAATAAAAATTTTACCCCCTGGATTTAACATTCATTGATTCTGGCCTGTGCCAATTTTTACCATGAACCTTGCAAAAAGATTTTCTTCTGCCTACACTCTTTCCACACTTACAGGTCAACATTTAGCAACCCACCGGAAGCAAGTGTTCTCCCTCCTCCTCCTCTCTCACTTGGATGTGCTCAGCGCTTCCCATTTTCTCAATGGTTTTTGCTTCATTACTGTTCATAATTATTTTGGTGCTCAAACTGTCTCAGATCTGGCCAGCGGGAACCCCTTCAAGCTGGTTCTATACTCTATGACAAGTTTCCATTTTCTTCCTTCCTACTTTTTTTTTTTTGAGCACTAGATGTTCCAAGCTCATTTTGTACTTACCCTGTCCCTGTCCTGGAATCAGCCATTTCTCTGAAGAGCCCTGGTATGCTCATTGCTAGTGGGGTGTCTTTACTTCTAGGCCCTCTCTGCAGACAGAGCTAGGACATACATACATGTATACATAAACACACACGTATATATGTACACATATACACACATATACACATATACATTTTAGAAATCATGAGTCCAATAGCTCCAATTCCAGTCCATCCCTATAGGGGTTCTTTCTTGCCTTCCCCCATTCCATATTTGTACGTCCCCTCTTCCACAGTGAGAACTCTGCTTCCACCAACAGCAACACACTTACTCAAATGACAGTAACACTTGCGCAATCCTAGAATACACCTAAAACGTTGTTTCAGAATTGTTTTCACCTGTGCCATCACAAAAAGCAAAGCCTACTAAAAAGAGTTTGGTAATTGCTTATGCTTCTCCCCCAGCTCCATCCAAAACCAAAAATATATAGTCAAATACTACATTCATATGTCACTTGAGTTTTTTTTTTAAATCCCCTTCAGTGTGATTGTGTTATTCATTTGAATTACAGTTCATCTGCTGCAGTTAACTTCCCCTATCCTTGTTGATTTCATTTTATTTTTTGAATATGGGAAATAGCAGCATATTTCCAAAAATCAAAACTATATCAAAGAGGCGTGCCCAGGGAAGTGCCACGCCCTCCTGAAACTCTTCTACCCCATCCTGCCCTGCCCCCACCCCTTCTGGGTAACTCTGTTGCCTACGTGAGGTTTCATGTTTCCTTTTTGTAAAAATAAGCAGACATATGTGTTTTATTCCCCCAGTTTCTTACCCAAAATGTAGTCTATGATAGATATTAATTTACATTTCGGCTTTTCCACCCCCCCCCACTTAAAAATAGCTCCTAGAAATCTCTCCCTATCAATTCACAGAGATCTGATTCCTCATTCTTTTTCATAGCTACCTAGAACTCCATTAATATGCACACATCACACTTCAATCAACCAATTTCCATGACTGGACATTTAAAAGTGGTTTTACAATGATAAATAATGCTTCACTGAATAATCTTGTGCATGTGTATTTTCATATTGGAGCTGCATTATCAGAATAAACTCCCAGAAGTGCGATTTTGGGGTTGAAGGATAAATACAAACGTAGTCTTGTTTGATATGGCCAAAGTCCCCTCTGCAGGGGCCATACAATTTTGTACTCCCACAGCAATAGATGAGGGTGTGTTTCACTGTAGCTTTGATAACAAAGTATATTGTCAAGCTTTTGAATTTTTGCCTGACAGGTGAGAAATGGCATCTCGGCAGACTTTTGATTTGCATTCCTAAGTGAAATTGAACATCTTTTCATATGTTTAAGGACCATTTTAATTATCTTTTTATGAACTATCTGTTCATGTCTTTTGCCTGCTTTTCCACAGATCTTTTTTGTAGGCCAGGCATTCTTAACCTGGGATCCATGTAGAAGAACACAGGTGGAATGCAGGGGGCGCCTGTGACCCTAACTTGGAAAAAAGCGCATTTTAATTTTTACTAACCTCTAGAGGAAATCCATCATTTCCTTTGATTATGAATACAGACCATAAACTACAAATACTGGCACTACCTATACTTTATTGCCAGGAGTAATCAGATAATTTCAGGTTATTTTACAGTTGTAGACCTCTTCATATCACTGTTTTCACTCATCACTACTTTAAATTAAGGGTGTATAAACTGCCACCACACTGCAGGATTACAGTCTTGTCTGTAGATGCTCATGTGACGAAGTTGGGCAACTACCAGGCAACTCTGCACCTACAGTCATTCAGCCACTAACAGCAAAAGTCATGGGATCTCTCACTGAGGACCAAGACATCTATTCTGCTCTCCAGCAGCTCCTATCTGCAAAGTTCTCTGTCAGTGTATTTGAAAACAGGTATCCATAAACCCTTCTATCACCAAACCCTAGGAGTTTGATGTAACTCTTCCAAATTTATTCTATCATGGTGGCATTAAAGTTGTATCATGGATCAGAATCTTTTTTTATTTAATATAAACCATATCAAGATGTTGACCCAGCCAAAGATGAATTCATTGATCTTTTTTAAAAAAAGTTTTTATTTAAATTCAATTTAGTTAATACATAGTGTATTATTAGTTTCAGGGGTAGAATTTAGTGATTCATCAGTTGTATATAACACCCAGTGCTCATTACATCATGTGCCTTCCTTAATGCCCATCACCCAATTACCCCACCCCCCCACCCACCTCCCCTCCAGCAAACCTCAGTTTGTTTCATATAGTTACAGAGTTTCTTATGGTTTGCCTCCCTCTCTGTTTTTATCTTATTTTTTTCTTCCGATCCCCTATGTTCACCTGTCCTGTTTCCTAATGAATTCATTGAACTTAAGACAAAAAAGTTACTATATCTACTATGGACTCTGAAAAACAAACTGAGGGTTCTAGAGGGGATGGGGGTGGGAGGATGGGTTAGCCTGGTGATGGGTATTAAAGAGGGCACGTTCTGCATGGAGCACTGGGTGTTAAACTCAAACAATGAATCATGGAACACTACATCAAAAACAAATTATGTGGGCGCCTGGTAGCTCAGTTGTTAAGCGTCTGCCTTCGGCTCAGGTCATGATCCCAGGGTCCTGGAATCAAGCCCCGCATCGGGCTCCTTGCTCCGCGGGAGGCCTGCTTCTCCCTCTCCCACTCCCCGTGCTTGTGTTCCCTCTCTGGCTATGTCTCTCTCTGTCAAATAAATAAATAAAATCTTAAAAAAAAAAAACAAAAAACTAATGATGTAATGTATGGTGATTAACATAACATAAAAAAAAAGTTACTATATCTGAGGGTGCCTGGCTTGGCTTAGTAGGTGGAACATGTGATTCTTGATCTTGGAGTCATGGGTTCGAGCCCCACGTTGGGGGTAGAGTTTACTTTAAAAAAATAAACAATTAAAAAAAATTTTTTTTTAAAGTTACTATGCCTAGAGTTAAATTTTAAGTCTTGGAGAATTGTAGTTGTAGTTGAGGAAATGTATTTTTCCTTGGAAAGCAAGCTTTGAATGTGTTTAAGTGTATCTGTAAGAAAATATCTTTGTGAAGCAGGAATTTCTATACTAGTAACCATCAAAACAAATAACCAAATCAACTGGATGTTCAACTTGACACTCTGTTGCCTTGTTGAAGCTTGTCTCACAATTTAATGTTTTTAGCCAAGCTAAGCAACAAAAGCTGTCATGCTGCTGTCCTAAAAAATAAAATTTAACTCCACCTTGCATATTATTTAAATATATTATCTGGTTAACTAATGCATCAATAAAGAAGACATATTACTATATCATAAATGTGTTTTTAATGTTTTGGAACTATATTTCAATATAATCGGGTTTTCTCTGTAATCCTATGTGTTACGGTTTACATATTTAAAAACATGATTCCAATAAAAGGTCCACAGGCTTGAGAATGCCTAAAGGCTCCACGGCACAAAAAAGGTTAAGAATTTCTGCCCCAGACTCTCAACCAAATGAGACAGCTTTAAGGTAAGCATGGTAATAACTCAATAAGCACTCTCTAGTGCCACATGTCACAACTCACCAGCTCCCCCAACTGAATAAAATGTTCCCTAGAACCCAAGAAAGACACGAGCTTTTGGCACTAAAGCTTTAAGGCCATTGATATATGCTGAATTATTCAATCATCTGTGACTTTCTAAACCGTAAATTTATTGCACCGCCCAGAAAGCCTTGGAGCCACTTACCATCAGTAGAATGCACATGGGAGCTGCCAATCTGGTCTACCAGCAACATGAAAACGAAGCCCAGCACGAGGGAAACACCAATATAGGCATGCAGCTGTGTGTGGTCATGGTTGTGCTCATGTTCATGGGCAACTGGTATTTCTGCTGCTTTGTCTGATGCAATCACATTCTGTGTTTCACTCACTTGGTGGTGTTTACCTAGAGCAGAATGAACCGTAAAGAGAAAATGTTTTCCTTCTTCCTCCTTGAAACATTTTCACATAGATGCTCCCATTCTTCTGCATTTCAAGCTCTGCAAAGACATCTACTTCCTATATTACAATCTAGCCAATCATAAACTCCTTTTGGCATGCAGATCTTTTTTTTTTTTTTTAAGATTTTACTTATTTGACACAGAGAGAGAGAGAGAGAGAGAGCACAAGCAGGGGGAGTGGCAGGCAGAGGGAGGAGAAGGAGGGGAGGGAGGGGGAAGCAGGCTTCCTGCTGGGCAGGGAGCCTGATGTGGGGCTCCATCCCAGGACCCTGGGATCATGACCTGAGCTGAAGGCAGACTCTTAATCGACTGTGCCACCCAGGCACCTGGCATGCAGATCTTTTAACTGCCTATTATTCTCAAAACCTGGAAGTGGAAGCAAATCACCAAGCAAGAAAGCAGTCATATTCCCAAGCAGTATCATCCTCAGATCCTCCTTTCTGGCTGAGAAATTCATGCCAATATCATCAAGAAACTACAACAAGTTTTACTCTGATGAAGACAGGCAAACGAAGAACAGTAAGTAATGAAAATAATTTTAGCCAAATTCATCTAGTTTTAGACCTAGGTTGATTTAGAAATTGCAAATAAAGAGCAAACTGAGTATAAACCTTTTAGCTTTAAAAATATCAGGAGGGGGGCACCTGGGTGGCTCAGATAGTTAAGCGTCTGCCTTCAGCTTAGGTCATGATCTCAGGGTCCTGGGACTGATCCTGAGTCCAGCTCCCAGCTCAGTGGGGAATCTTGCTTCTCCCTCTCCCTCTGCCTCTTCCCCTGCTCGTGCGCTCTCTCTCTCTAATGAATAAATAAAATCTTAAAAAAAATATATCAGGAGGCAATCACTAACTAAAAACTTTTTAAAAGGGCAGAGCAGTTTAAGAGACAGAGCTTTCCATCTAAATTCAGTTCTAGAAATACAATTGCTGGGATATTCTGAATTACAGGAAGTGACACTTGGCCAAGTAATACTTCTAGTTTATATTCACATATGACACTCAAAGCATAAATGCTTCAAGGCCAGAATCCTGATCCTGGCTGTGTTTAATGAAGAGAGGCCAACATATTAGACATTTTTCATTTATAATTAGATTAAGCATTTTTACCTTTGATCAAAGAAATTACACAAGCTTGTAATATTTTAGACCCTGCCTTAATCCTTTAAAAGATATTTTTGAGGGGCACAAATCACATGCCATGTGAAAATTAAAAAAACAAAAAAACCCCTATATATTCTTCTAATTCCTGAAAGTTTTGGTTTGTTTTCAGAGCCATTTTCTTTTTTTTAACCTTTTTTTTAATGTGATAAAATATACATAAAATTTACTTACCATTTTAGCCATTTTTAAGTGTAGAGTTCTATAGCATTAAGTGCATTCACACTGTTCTGCAACCATCACCTTCATCTATCTCCAGAATTTGTTCATCATCCCAAAGGAATTTTTTAATCTGTAGAGTTCTTTTTTTTCTAACAGTGATTTCGTCTACTTGTTTTTAAATTAAATGTCTAAATCTCTTTAAAAAAAAATCTACTTTATTGAGGTATAGTTTACATACAATAAGACACAATGAGTTTTCACAGTGCAAAAATTCTAGTAACTACCACCAAGGACAAGATACAGAACATTTTAAAATCCCAGAAAATTCTCTTATGCTCCTCTGAAGTCAATATATCACTCCTGGTCCCAAGCAGGGGCTGATGTGCTTCTTGTTCCTGGAAAGACTTTTTTTTTTCCTGTTCTAGGATTTTATATAAATGGAATCATATAATACACAACACTTTTGTGTAAGGATTCTTTTGCTTATAGCAATGTTTTGAGATTTATCTATGCTTTGCATTTATCAGTTGTTTATTCCTCTTTTTTGCTGAATGGTGTTCTATTGCATAGACATATCACAATTTGTTTACCCATTCACCCACTGATGGACATTGAGGTTATTTCCAATTTTGGTCTATTATACATAAAGCTGCTATGAGCATTCAGGTACAAGTCTTTCTGTGTAAGGTTTAGCTATAAAAAAAAAACTGTTTGTTTTCCACAGTGACTGTACCATCTTACACACCCAACAGCAGTGTATGAGAGTACTAGTAGCTCTATACAATTACCAACATTTGATAATATGAGGCTTTAAAATTTTAACCATTTGGGGCGCCTGGGTAGCTCAGTTGGTTAAGCGACTGCCTTCGGCTCAGGTCATGATCCTGGAGTCCCGGGATCGAGTCCCGCATCCTGCTCAGCAGGGAGTCTGCTTCTCCCTCTGACCCTCTCCCCTCTCATGCTCTCTCTCTATCTCATTCTCTCTCTCAAATAAATAAATAAAATCTTTAAAAAAATAAAATAAAATAAAATTTTAACCATTTAACATACTCGATCACATTATCTGCAAACAGTTTTACTTCTTTCCAATCTTTATGCCTTTTGTTTCTTTTTCTGGCCTTCCTGCAGGCTAGAAGCTGGCTAGGACCCCAAATACAATGTTAAATACCAGTGGTTGAGAGGAGATGGCCTTGCTTTGTTCTGAATGTTATAGGTGTCTTAACCATAGGGTTTTTGAATAAGCCCTTTCTCAGTAAGGAAGTTCCTTCCTAGTTTGCTGTAATTTTTTTTAATGAAGGAGAGTTTAATTTTGCCAAATGCTTTTCTATACCTGTTAAGGATGATCAAAGTTTTCTACTTTATTCGATTAATATAATGAATTAAACTGGTTTTTGAATATTACTCCAACCCTTACTTTGCATTCCTGGCATAAACTCCAATTGGTCAAGACATGTTATCCTTTTTCTATACCGCTGGATTCAGTTTGCTACATTGGGTAAAGGACTGTTGTGTGTACATTCATGAGGGCTATCTGCCTGTAACATCTCTGAGTCACACTGGCATCTTAAAATGAGATGGAGTGTTCCTCCGAGAGAGAAAAGACTTCCTTCAGCCAATACATTTCCATTTTATTGATTTGAAGAAGGTCTATGACTATTAACAGTCTGACATTAATGTTTAGTATTTTTAAATTACTGAAATGAGATTTATGACTTTTTAAAACTTTTAAGACCATGACCTGTAGTAAAAAATAAATTTTATATAAATGAAAAACTAAATACAACGTTTCACAAAACAGTGAAGCTTATAATGCTTACAACGCACTCTTCCATTTCTTTCTCTTTGCCTCTTTTTTTTGTCCCTCCACCAGGCTCTTTTTAAATACTGGTCACAAGTCCAACTCACTAAATTTATTTGAAGACCCACTGAGTTGCTACCTTCAGTTTGAAAGCATTACTGGAGGTGGAGAGACTCAGAGGAGAAATGGATGATTTTGGAATAAGGGGCATTTTCTGGAAATTAGAAGCCTGGGCTGCAGTGGTCAACGAAAGAGAGCTGAACGCTAAACAAGCCTAAGAGAAAAAAGTTGGCAGGTTGTAGGTGCCCACGCGGTTCCTTACACAAAATAAATTATTAGCAGTAAGGATGTTAAGCCAAAGAACTGACTGAAAGCTCAGAGATGAAAAATAATCAAGTCTGGGGCGCCTCAGTGACTCAGTCGTCAAGCATCTGCCTTCAGCTCAGGTCATGATCCCAGGGTCCTGGGATCCAGCCCCGCATCGGGCTCCCTGCTCTGCGGGAAGCCTGCTTCTCCCTCTCCTGCTCCCCCTGCTTGTGTTCCCTCTCTTGCTGTGTCTCTCTGTCAAATGAATAAAATCTTTAAAAAAAAAAAAAGAAAAAGAAAAAGAATTAAGTTTGAAAAGCAGTCCAAGAATCTTGAATTAGTAATGTTGGACAATTAAAATGTAGCCTTGTGGTAACATGACTGTATTTAGTTTGTGAAAATCACTGAGCTGTACCCTGCCAATATGTGTATTTTCCTATGTGTATACTTTTGTATGCAATATTTTGATAAAAATAAATTCAAAATGTAGTACTCTGGTGTCCAATACTGAGATGGTTGCACCCATCATTTTTTCATGTAGGTTTTCTTTGTGAGCTGGGGGGACTAGTTTAGTATGGTCTCAAAAATGTGAAATAAATGAACTAAAACATCTTATTTTCTCTAAAGACAAGGCAATTTTGGGTCTGCTTCCATTTTAATATATATATAACCATGATTTAATTCTTCATATTTATAGATGTTAAGAAGCTGCCCATGTGGGGCGTCTGGCTGGCTCAGTCAGTGGACTGTGCAACTCTTGATTGCAGGGTTGTAGGTTCGAGCCCCACGTTGGGTGTAGCAATTACTTAAAAATAAAATCTTAAAAAAAAAAAAAGAAAAGAAGCTACCCATGTGAAGTAAATCACAGAATTCTGGTAGCTACAATTTCTAATACTATTTAGAAAGATGCTATTGGCGAGGATCTGAATGATTACATTTTCATAAGGTACCCACTTAACACTTACCTGGGCTCCCATCTCTCTCTCTGCTGATACTTTGCATGAGTTAATGAATCCATGGGCCCTCCATGCTGCTTCTCCTGGATAACACCTTGTTTCTCAAGACTCAGCTTGGAAGCCCCCTCTTCCTTGAGATTTCTGTGTCCTCTTTTCCTATCAAACACACCACACACTGGGTGTCTTTCTACCATAGGTCTTACACCTCACTATACCATAATTCAGACATCAGCAAATTACAGTACAGGGCTGGTGCCTATTTTTGTAAATAAAAATTGCGTTGGAACATAGCCACGCTCATTTGTTCACAGATTATCTATGGCTGCTTTCATGCTATGACACCAGGGTCGAATAATTGCAAAAGAAACCATATGGCCCACAAAGCCTAAAATATTTGCTATCTGGCCCTTTACAGAAAATGTACACCAACCCCTGCTGTCATTGATTGTTATTCATTTTCCACTGGCTGTGAATTCTTGGAAGGCTGGGGCTATATCTTAGATCTCTGAACTGCTAAAAATCAACAGAAGGCCAGAAATCTAGCAAATACTCAACAAATAAATGTTGAA